CGGGCGCAGCTTAAAATCGTCTTGTTGACGCCGCGCCATGTCGTCGGTGTTCACTGCGCCTAGGAAGCACTTTTCATCGCCGTTGCTGCTGCCGGAAGGTGTCTCAACAGGGGCTATGAACAGGTAGTGGGCATCGCTATGCTTGCGGCCTGACTTGTGGACCACAGTCATGTTGAACTCTTGTAGTCAGAGTCTCTATCGAGCGAGGCGTTTGGAAGAGTCCTTGAGGTTCGCAAGCCAGCAGAGCGAGTGGTGGTCCTTAACTACGCGGAACGTGCTCCCGTACAAGTACGGGTGAAACTTCGTGATTGCCTAGATGACCGCAACACATTCTTTTTCAGTCGTGAAGTAATTTCTTTCCGGCTTGGACAGTATCCGACTTCTGTATGCGATGAGTCGCTTGGTGCCATTTTTCTTGCACGTGAAGCAGTACCGCTCCAAGTCCTGCGTTCCTTGCGTCCGTGTGAATCTCGGTGTCGGCATCCTCATCGAAGTGCTCAAGAACACGAGAAGCTTGGAGTCTTCACTTCCGCTCGTCGAATGCCTGTTGTTGCTCCTCGGCCCATTCGAACTTGTCGGCGTCCTTCGTGAGGTTTCTGACCGGTTCGTAAATCCTTGCGAAATCGCGAACTGAACGCCGATGGTACGCAGGTTGTCCGGGGAATCTTCGGACGGCCTTCTCGTCAGTCGGCACCGAAAATTTCTCGCCGGCGCGAATTCTTTCTGGGTCTGAGCGAACGCCATAGTTGCTAACCACGAACCGACTCTTCGATGGCTTGAGAGTGAGTTCGGCTGTCTGTATGGATTGGAAAAGAGCTCGGAGTCATCGCAAGTGCTCGTTGAAGTCGCTTGAAAACACTATGACGTCGTCAAGATAGACGAGACAGCTCTGCCATTTTAGTCCTGCCAGTACGGTGTCCATGACATGTTTGGAAGTTGCTGGGGCCGTGTATAGTCCGAAGGGCATTACCTTGAAATCATACAGTTCTTCCGGGGTGACAAAGTCTGTTTTCTCTCGGGCCCGTTCTTCGACTTCGATCTGCCAGTGGCCGTTCTTCAGGTCCATCGATGAAGCATATCGAGAGTGGCGCAGCCGATCTAGCGTGTCGTCTATGCGGGGGAGTAGGTAGACGTCTTTCTTCATCACCGCGTTCAGCTGCCGGTAGTTCACGCAGAACCTAAGCGTTGCGCCCTTCTTCTTCTGTACCACTACGACTGGAGAGGTCAGCGGTTTGCTTAAAGGCTGGATTATGTCGTCGTTCAGCATCTCTTAAACTTTCTCCTGGATAATCTCCCTTGCTTTTACGGAGGCTCTGTATAGCAATCAATGCACAGGAAGCCCGTCGTCCTCATTAACGATGCAATGCTTCGTAACGGTGGTTTGGCGCACCTTGGACGACCTTGTAAAGCACTCGCTCTATTCGGCGAGGAGGTTAATTAGCTGCCGTCGTTTTGGGCCGGGAGCTCAGGGTCAATGGCGAGCTGCGCTGGCGACGTATTCTTTTGCTCAGGTCACGAGGATTCTTCAGCAATCGCGGTGATATCGGCGGAGTTCCGGAGTTCCTCGACGAGGCCTACAGCGGAACTTTTCGTGAGGTGCTGCGTTTCTTCTCGGAAGTTCTTTACGAGGACTACAGTGCGTCCATCCTGGAGTTCAGTGACCCCCCTTGCGACGCCGATTCCTCTTCCCCGGGGCAAATGAATGTTGCCTTCCAAAACAACTTCGCCGCTGGTAAATGCATTGGTCACGACGGGCACAATAACACTTCATCGCGGCGGTAGGTTTACGATATCGGCCGCGACTCGGACGGCGACTGACGTTATTTGGTGTTATTCTGGAGGCGGAACAGGTGTCAGTAGCGTCAATCTGTTCTCTCCAAAGTCGATGACGGCACGGTATTCAAACAGAAAGTTCATGCCAAGAATAACGCCTCTGGCACTGTCTTGTAGAACGACGAATTTCACAGGACATGTCTCGCCTTGAATCTCGACTCGAGCAGTGCACCTTCCGGCGGGCGTAATAAGATGTCCTTCGGCGATTCAAAGTTGTAGTACCCCCAGGGCGTCGCGACCTTTCGGAGGTGGCGAACGAGCCTCCCTGTTGTCAATACTGAATAGTCTGCTACGGGGTCCACGAGGGCCGATGCGTCGTGGCCGTCGACGACAACATTTAGGTTGTTGGGCACAGTGGCAGGAGCGTCGTTGCTATGGGTGGCGTCGGGGAGTGGCAACTCTCCTACGTTCTTGGAGTCTCTTTGCTTCGGTGGTCTTTGGCAACACTACACCAGGTTTTTGCCGTACTTAGTTTTCCCGGCTACACAGGGGAGTCATGCTCTCTCGGCGGGGTACGGGCGCTAGAGACGCTGAACGTCGCGGTGATGATGAGCAGGATTCACGGCGAAGAGACGGCGCTGAGGAGGGCGAATGTCGGAGGTACTCCTCGACGTCGCGAGGGCGTTTGCCACACCTCGGGCGTGGGTTGTTCGGGTAGAACCGACGCAGCCCAAGCCGACGGTAGAGGCATCAACACTAAACGTGGTCGGCTTCCCCGCGGTGGTAGCAGAGCGGGTGGTCGTCGGCCGTTCGCCTTACGTCGTCGATCTCTCTTGGCGAGGGTCGTCCCGGGCACACGCACTGGGCTTATTCTTCCTGGCGTCGAGGATGCTGCTGCATTGGGGTGTCTCGTCGGAGTGGCGTCGAGGCTTGGCGGGGAACTTGCAGTGGTTGTCGGGCCTCGGAGGCGTAGCTCAGCGTCGTCTCTTCTAGTGCCACCGTGGTGACGGGAACCTCTGGTTGAAGGGTTCGATTTACTTCTTCGCGGAGAGCCTCGGCGATGGAGAAGGTTGTTGGACGATTAGCGGTTGGCAGCAAGCTTTGGAGTTCCTTCCGGACGAACTCTGTGGGTCGCCTGACAATTCCCGATCAGGCCGAGTTCCACTCGCTCCGAGGAAGTCACACAACGAGCACTATGATAGACAAACACTTTATCGATACTTAAGTTGTGCTGCGGGGGCCAAGGCTGCCTTGTGGTCCGGGTCTTCCCTGGGCTCGTTCCGCACCGCCTCTTTCGTTCGTCACGGCCCCTCCAACTCTGTCCACGCGCACCTACCACGAGCGTCCCTTTCTCTTCTTCCTTGCCGCTCACGGGGCCGTCCATCCACGTTCAGCGTGGCTCGTTGTCTCCCACAACTCTTGGATAGTTTCGCGGATGTACAGCGTACCAGGATCGTTTTTGCAGCTAAGCAGCGTGGATGCAGCGGCGAGTGGATGTCGCTGGTAGTAGGGGACGCGCGCTTAGAGGGTGCGCTCGATGTTTGTTGCCTGAGTCAGAAAGGCTTTGGCGGTTACCGGCGGGTTGCGGGCGAGGCCTCCAAAAATCTCGGCTCTCACCCCGCGCACAAGGACCTGCAGTTTTTCGTTTGTGGCTTGCGGGCCTTCATGGACGCTCTGGAGCAGGACATCTTCCACGAAGCTGGTGAGGCTTTCGTTGGGGCTTTGGGCTCGAATCCAGAAAAGATCCTCTGATCTTGACCGTCGGTGTTGGGCGGTGAAAGTCCGCTGCAACTCGACCACACAGATGTCCCACGACGTAAACGAAGCCTCGTGGTTCCTCAAACAGTGCCTCACGGTACCCTGCACCGAAATGTAGAGTATCTGCAGGCACTGCTCCGCAATCAATCTGCTGTGGGGCGCCACACGCTCGTAGAGTTGGATCCAGTCCTCGACGCCTTTGTGGATCTCGCCGTGGAAGGGAATCGGCGTGCGAGGCGCGATGGGCAGGTAGACGATGGAAGTCGCGGCCGGGTTCTGCTGGGACATCGTCGTCGTCTTGGCCATCTACTTCTCGGGTAAAAGTCCAAACTGAGCGGACTGTCCTTGGGTGTGGCGGCTGGCTTGGGTTTCGGGCTCGTCGACGGGGATCAGCTTTCCGGGACTTGACAAGGTCGAGTCCGACCGATCTTCTGAGAGTTACGTTTCACTGGCATAGAATACGGTACCCCGCATCTCCACCAAAATGTCACGAATGACAAACGATGAGGCGGCGAATAGCTAAAGCAACTAAACGTTTAATGTGGCGAACTTGTTCGAAAACAAAATCAGAATGAATGGTGAATAACGGACGCCGCAGGGCGTCGATGACGGCAGGATCGAGCGCAGGCGAAACAATTACTCCGGTTCACCCCGCGGTGCGCCGTGAGTTCCTCTCTCGCCTCGCGTGAGTTCCTGGAACATTCGGCGCGGAGCATTCGGCTCGGGGAACATTCGTACCTCGATTAAACGACGAGGTCCTCTTACTTACAAAAACGCTAAATTAAAGAAAAATAAGAGTCCGCTTTCAGGAATTGAATTTGGGGCCTCTGCGCGAAAGCCGGGCATAGTAACTATTCGGCCACACATGCGATCTCTTGGCGACGCGCGTGCCAATATTGTAGTCGTAATTTCTAGCGCCGTGATATGGTTTTCAAAGAAGTCAAGCAAGTCTCGGTACACAGGGAACCTTTAGTGACTCTAATTCGCCTGATAATCGCACGAACATGTGAGGGTCTGCCAAATTCACCACCACTGCTGTGACTGTGTCATTAATTTTAATTCCGAATGAGAAAATATTTTCATTATAATGCACTGATTTGAACGTGCAAATTAATCGTGTTTATCTCAAGTAACAAGAACCTTCGAAGACAGGTACCCCTATTAACAATCTCCTGGAAGTTGTTTCAATGCTTTTGTCTTTCCTTGTATTAACAAAATCTAGAATTTATTTCTTGAAACATTGACAGCTTCTGTCTCCTTGTGATTATGCATGCTCCGTCACAAACCTACCACCATTTGTCACATTGTTTGGCATGGATGAAAAGACGTTCTCTACTGCAACTCTCCGGGCTCACTCGTTATAAAACCCGGCTACCTTACGAGGTTGGGAATTCTACAAGATATACCCTGCAAGAGCCCCCGAAAATGTAATTTGTTAATTCAGCATACTGGTAAATAGCAAGTTTTACCTTCCTTAGTCGTGTTATCCAGTAGTATAGGGTTGCCAGACCAATTTTTTAGGGATCCATCATTGTTGAATTCCAGTTCCAAGTGCCCCAGGTACTTTCCAGCCCAGTAATCTTGAACGACAAGACCCTGCCTATTGCTCTTTTTGTTAACGATTGTCGGATAATCCCCTTCTACTTTGTCCTCGGGTCTGGGTGGTTCGCCTGTAAGCAAAAGTTTGTGATAGTTGTTCTTGTTATAATGCAAAGTCTAGCGACTCACCGGTTAACAGTTGATTGAGGTTCATCAAAATAAATATATCAAAAACTAAAACAAGAACAGGATGCCCAGGAATGTCGCTACGTATGTATTTATTTTACAAAAAAAAAAAAAATATGTGGGAAAATATTTTATCTTTATTTTTGGTTATCAATATAACTATTAAAAACGCATCAGGATCACCGAATATTGTACTACTACACCAGACAATATGAATCGTTCAGGAGCAAGAATATTTGGGAGCAAACGTGGAAGCCAATTTACACGGTGTGTAGCCCTAATTGAAAAATTCTCTAGAGGAAGAATTATCACTCTAAACTGTCTGGATAAACCACCTTAGAATAGTTTACACTCGGCACTGCGAACTTAAAAAAAAAAAAAAAAAAATGGCGTCCGCACTTACCTAATGCATGTTTCACGTCCGTAATAATTATGTTTTAAGAATGCCGTAAATATATGAATTTTTTTTCTCGAAAATTAAGAGGAAAACGGCTTTACTAGCCTGACACTCCCTCGTGAATAAAGTATTAGGTATCAAGTTAACTGTTAGTTTCTCAAAACTGTTTATATTCCACTATTTGTGGGGCCATATATCAAGGCCATCGACTTTTTGTGCAAGTCACAAACCGCCTCTGAAACTAAGAAAACAAGAAAAATAAAAACACGTTTTATACGGCATAGACTCGAATTGGAAAAAAAAAATAGAATGCATTTAAGATGCAAATAATTGGGTAACTCCTTTTCCCCTCATTTATTCGCAAATTTTGTTCATTTTCGCATGCCGTGCTGTCAGTTTCATATACAGATTCCGAATACCTGTTTCCCCTTATTGAAGCATCAATGTGAATAGGCTTGGGTCACAGAAGCCATTAGTCTGAGTTCCAACCTATTGCTTTAAATAAAAAAGTCAATAAGTGTAAGATGGTAGCTGCAGTAAAATTAAAAAAAAAAATAGAACAAGAAATTACATTAAAAATTACTGAATCAAGACCCGTACGTATCTTTACGTTGTGGTGCGATGAATTCAGTCTAAGAAGGTCACACACAGAACACTGAGCAAGACGTTGGTAAGGTGTATAGTACATACAGTCGACCGGAGCCAAACATGAATGGGAGCTTTATATACATGCTTGCTACTCACCAATATAAATTGTCATGCAATGCAAACATGGTTGCGCCCGGCCCACGCCAGCCTGTCTACATGGCAACTTTTTTTGGCTTTCACGTTGATTTCGGGAACTCTAGCTCTTCTCATAAAGTCCTAACATGCAAGAACCCGCTCCAAAGTTACGACGTAGCGACTGCTTCAACAGAGGTTAGGTATTTTTTGTAATACACGACCGTATGCTCGACGTGACGGCTGGAACATTCGCGTCGTTCGCGTAACCCCCTTTTGATTGCTCGGTTTCTAGTTGATCCTCAGCAATACTCCGTAAGCTGTCCGCACCCGAAAACTGGGTTGAATTTATCTCCTTCTGGTGTATCGCGTTACGGCAAGTGACACTTTATTAATATCTGGTATAGTCAAGCAGGGGCCGTTCTCGCTTTCGCCCTCCACTGGAGGGCGAAAGTCCTGGTCACCACTGCTGACCAGGACGTCGGGAAGGAGTCCTGGGGAGCCTGGTTGTCCACCGTGGAACTGTTTAATTACATGTTTTCAGTCGGGTTGTTCGGCATCAAAACACCAGTGGAAAATAAGCACTTAAAAAATCCACCTTCATTTTTTTTTTGTGCATTTAGGTAGGGATCACGTGTCGGGAATTTCTCGAGCCATTTCTGCGGGATAGATCTTTCGCTAAATTACCCAAGCACCAAGGCGCACGCTGCGAGTGTAGTTACAAACGCTACACGTGCTGCGCTCTGCAGCAGTAACTGTTCTAAAGAAAAACTTAAAACAAATAGGATCTTGCACGCGCGTTCGTCAACGCCTTATTTTGGTTTATTTACTTCGAATTTTTTATACGGAGAAGGCGAGCGCGATCGGCGCGTAGATTTAAATTCCCTGCAATCTCCTTGATGCTTGGGTAATTTAGCAATAGGTCCATTGTGGCATCCCATCTGTCAGATTCTGTGACACATGCGCACATTATACTCCGTTTCACACTAACCGCGAATTATCTGTGGTTGTTTCTGTTACCTCTCGAGCGCTTTTTCCAGAGAGCGCAAAATCAGGTGGTGGAAAGAAAGCGTGTTGACGATATCAGCTGTTGTTGTTCTTTTTCCCCGAGGGCTCTCCTTTTTCTCCGCGAGCTCTATAGCACTTGCACTCTTGCCTTCGTAATGCAAAGCGGTGCAGGCGTTACGTGCCATGTGGACGGTGGCCGATTGGTCTTGCTGACCATGGCGTCCGCAGGAGTGTGCAAGGTACGGCAAGATGGCGATGAAAATCTGGTTCTACAGAGCGCTTGTGAGTTCGATGGTGCGAGCTTCACAACGGAGGGAGTAACATTCGCTCAAAACAGTGACGGGGAAAATCTGCCTGATGAGTATTTCCAGCTTCTAACTTGTACGAATTCGTTAATCTAATGGCCGTGATAAGCCTAACCAATAAAGCAAGAGCTCGTCGCTGCTTTACTAGGTTTTGCGGACATTTCAATGTCCACAAAGCCTGGTTTATAAAAGTGCCTTCGAAGATTTGTACTCTAGAATAAAAGAAGAGCCGGCATTAATTCACTAGTTTGTGTTAGATTGCGATACACATACTTATCCTCTGGGCAGGGCAGAGGTAAAAATCAAAATAATTTTAATCGTGATTCAGATCATAATTGAAATCGTGATTTAAATAAAACCGATTTTAATGTGATGATTTAAATCAAACCATTCCCCCAAAAGTATCAACAAATATATATTTTTATATACGTGCATTTATATTGTGGTGCTTTCTATGCGAATTTGCTTTGTGTTTCAATGAGAAAATAATCAAGCTAAAAAAATTATACCAGGCTGAACACGATTACGAAGCAGCGGTCTTCTTAGCAAATCAGGCGATTGGGCTTTCTTTCTATTATCTACTTTGTTCGTAAATTGCCCCAAAGCTCACTGCATGTTAAAAAAAACGCAAAATAAAGAAACAAAGATTTAAAAAGTAGGTAATTTCTCATTGCAAGAAAATCGAAAGGCGGAAGAAAAAGCAAAATATGTTTCTTCACTAGCAAATCAAGCTATTTTGCTTGACCGTGGCGGTCTCGCTCAATAAAAGTTGCTAGTTAAACTGCAAAATTTAAATTTAGAGTAATAATATTATGAATTGTTTTCAGTAGTCGGAGGGATTGATAAATCAGTTTGCCATATTTGAAATTATATGTAGTGATTAGGGATTACTATTTCAGAGTTACAGTTATTCGAGTAAAATTTAGAGGATTTAAAAAAAAATCCCAATTATTCAATTAATTTTTTTTTTCAATTACGCTTCTGGGTGACGCTTGAATAATATTCCGCAGACAGACAAGAAGGGTTCATTTGCATATGATATTTTCCCTTCCGCCGTACGCACAAGCGTTATCGTGTCGCGTTCATTGTTGTATACAGAATCAGTTGACAACTATACGAAGTGTTTAGATTTTTTTAACTTCTGATGAAGTGGTAAAGATTTTTTAAAAAATGACGAGAAACCTTTAAATTTAGACACTTGACCACATATTCTAGGTACTACTGCACGTATATCACCACATATATTAAGGCAGTTATTAGGATGTTACACAGGCTTTTAGATGCTCTCCTCCAAGGCTGCCGCATGGACTCTCAGTCACGAGCTCATTACGAGCTTAACAAGCCCGTCAGTTGTTAAAGACGTTATTTCTTGAACCCTTTGTCAATGGTTATTGTTCATCCTTTCCGAAGCTTTGCGAAGTCGTCTGTGCACAGAACACATGTCTGAGGTGAATTACGATATTAATGACGCATGATGGAAGGACCGAGGACCATCACGGCATTCTTTTTCGAGCAGGGCACTTACAACATTGGGCTATGCATCATAATTACTGCCTCAACCTTTGCGGTGATTATGCGGAGAAGTAGCTATATAGGGCGAGCAAGTGTTCTGAAATGTATTTTTGACGCATCGGAACGCAGAGAGGGGCTCGCCAATCACAGTGCAACATAGATAACGCGTAGCAAACGCGCGATGACGAAGCAGCCAAGCTCACGCCGTCATTGGTTGAAGTCGGGGGGAGACAAACGCACGCAGGCGCATTTCCACGTTATTTATAGGGTCTCCCAAGTCCCCAGGCTCGATCTGAAATGGACCGTAAAAGTCGACGCCTGCAAGTAAAATCTAAACTTTACGTCAAATAAGAATTTCACAGGTCGGTTTTTTCTTGTAAAATGAGAAAACGTAGATCCCTTTTTGTGAAAAATAGGGCCCAGAAACTTGCCTGGTTAAACGGCGGGCGGCAACGCAGACGACCAACTCGAGTGGCGGGACGCGCTTGTCGCTCGTATTGATTGATGGCGCTACCTCCTTATAGAAACAGCTCGCGATCACCGTGGTTTATTAAAATGAACAATCTTTTTGTAATGTACCTTTGGTTAAAAAATAAATGCGGACAATAAAAGCAAAATGTAAAGGAAAAAAAAAATAAGAAGAACACGTCTGCATAACGACGGCTGTTTTCCTGCCAACTGATTTTTTCTGAGTGTCGTCTGCTTTCTTCCGCTGGTCGGCTGTACCTTCCGACGCTGCTCCCGACGCCGTCTGTCAACACGCGCCAAACACGCCCCACAGCTCGACTAGATCGTCCGCGTTGCCGCCCGCCGTTCCTCCTGGCAAGTTTCTTGACCGTAGTTTTTTACAGAAAGAGAGCTACGCCTTCTAATTAAAAAAACAAACATAAAAAAAACGACCCGTAAGATACACCTTTGACGAAATGTTTACATTGCTAGATGCAGACGTCGATTCTTAAGGTCCATTTTAGATGGAGCCTGGTGACTTGGAACACCCTATTGCCTAGTGATTGGTTGACTTCTCGCTGCGTTCCGATGCACCAAAGATGCATTTTAGAACACTTGGTCGCCGCATTGAGTGCGAATGTGCATTCTGTTTATAATAAAAGAAAAGTTCGTCACCCTCCTCTGTGTGTGCGTGTGTGTCTGTGTGTGCGTGCGTGCCTGCGCGTGTGTTCGTGTGTGTGTGTGTGTGTGCGTGTGAGAGAGAGATAGAGACTTTAAAGAATCCGAGTGCATTTACGCTGCCAGGTAACGTGAGCCACAGTAAGAGCAGCTCGGCGATTCAATAATTCGCCATCACTGTATCGCTATTGTCTGTGCGTCGCTTCCTGAGAAGGACCCTGTGGATTTTCACGCCATTTTCGCTTCCGCTCTCGATTGTGCTCCCGTGCATCATCATTCGTACAACGTCCATGCCGAGCCTCCTAAGCGCGCCCTAACTGAAATTCGTGTTCTTCGGACCTGCAACCGTCTTTCCAAGGTGTAGCCGTACAATGTGCAAGTTCGTCTGCTCAGATGGTGGTGCGCACGCACCGCCTCAACAAGGACTCGACAAGGACGTCCCTTTCAGACGCTTCCCGGCCTCCAGCATACGCTCGCTGTCTTTCCCTACGCTCTGGCTTCGCGTGCATGCTCGAGGCTCACGAGACGCCGACAAAGTAATCGAAGGTGGAAAGAAATAGAATTTACTGAAACTTGTCGCTCATTCATTAGAGCGGTTGACCGTTGAGGGAACGCTTGGTGTCGTCCGTACCTCCCTGGATCGAATACCGTCCAGCGAACGTACATTTCTGTTTTTTTAACAGCCGAGTGGTAACTGCGGGCGCAGCCGAAAGTCCCCGATGTAAAGACTGGGAGCGACCACTGATCTCTATGTCTATTTGCTGGATCGCGTTTGACCAGCTCCATCTATGGACGGGAACGCGGCCATGATCGGCCAACTTTTTAATAGAGTCATGTAATCTCTAGCCATCATAGTACTATGGCGGACAGCGCTGTGGCGGCAGCCTGCTATAACAATAGCCGTGGGTCTAGTACACTAGCTGTGTTCGATTTACTTACACATTCTGCACCAGTGCAGAAAAGTGTAGGGCAGTCTACTTCCGGTATGTGCATTTAGATACGACCGGAAGTACACCTCCCTATACTTTTCTGCACCGGTGCAGGAGGTGTAAGTAAATCGAACGCAGCTACTGTACCGTGGGTGATATTGCGTGCTTGATTGAAGTTGTTCGACGAAGCAGGTTCTTGAAACCCGGCGTGAACGGTAGCCTCGACTTTGAGGAACCGGCGAGAGTTTTACGAATGAGCAGTACCGGTGGCAAGCAGCGCAGCTCGCATCGAAAGCAGACGCCGTACCGCGAATGGGCCCCTCCGCGGTTCGACATCGTTGACAGGTGTGGTGTGATTTCGTTGGTGGTGAAGTCTTTTACTCCCGAACGCTTGGATACGAATCAAGAGACGCCTTAAATGTGCTCGCGATCACTTGGGGAATTCTCGCGAGTGTATATATTCACCGAGGTCTCTCCACAAACTTGCGTGCCGATGTGCCCGTGAGTGATTTGTATATGTTTTGTACCACATATTCGCCTGCGACGTTCTAAATAAATTGCATTTAAACGAATTGAATTGATCTCTTTTCCCAATAATACTGGTCAAAGCCAGAGGCCCAGTACGTCCTCCACTCGACCGCTCGACCACTGCCAAAATCCGCTTTCGATGCAAGCTGTGCTGCTTCTCCCCGGTCCTGCGATATCGTGAAACTTTCGCCGGGTCCTCCAGATAGGGCTGCCGTTCACGCCGGGTTTCAACAATATGTTTCGTCGAACAATTTCCATCAAGCACGAAATATCACCCACAACTATCTTTATGGCAGCCTGCCACCACAACCACCGTTACTAGATCAACTCAGTTATGGAACTTCCCATAGACGCTGTACATTGGAGGGGGTCCGAAACCATGTCCGATTTTTTAGCAGTTAGGTGGCGCTGCCGGAGCATTATTCCACGCGTTTTCGTCTGCTACTGCTCCGCGGCTGCTTGCGAGTCCCGACTCCTCTCGAGGTTCAGCAGGGTTTTTGGTTAATTTTTGCCCTTTCGCCAGTAAAAATTACAATTTGAGCATGAAAAGCGCTACGACCGTTTTGACATACGCTTTGCATTATTGTAAAATGCTGCTGCCTTGGCTGTGCTGACAGCGCGAAGCGTTTCGAACAACCCAAATTCGTCGGCGCCACAATCCGGTGGCTACAATCAGGGCAAGTTTGTACATACTGTAATAGTAGATGTGCCGATGACTACCAACTGCAGCAGAAACAATTTGAAAGTCGTCTGCTACTGTCAGAAAAAGCGCCACGAACATCCGTAAGCTCAATAGGCCAGATGCAACGGCCATGTACGATCTCTATGGCAACGGCCACAAGCGCGCCGTCAATGATGATGATAGCGAGTATTAATGCGGAGCGCGCGCCCTCTAACAGGCGCCACGCAAAAGGACCCCCTCCGGAGGGGAGTTCCAGAACTGAGTTGGTTCTAATAACGTTGACCACAACTGCCACAACGCTGTCTGCCATAGATTGATGATAGTGGCTGCGCCGGCACCAGCTGTACCCTATCTAGCAGGCGGTAAATTACGCCACCATGCTACTATGATGTGGCTAGAGGTAATAAAACTCTACCGAAAATATGGTCACCAGTCCCCGCACTCGAGAGCGGGCAAACGCGATCCAGAAAATAGACACAGAAATCAGTGGGAGCGACCATGTGATTGATGAGGTTACCTATATAGTTTTCGCGAAGGACAAGCACAAATTCGCCTGGGAGCCTCGCACTAACAGCAGTCGCCCTTAAAACGTATTGCCAAACGTTGACGTTCGGTCCTTTTCTCAAAGGTTAGAGTGTTTTAGTAGATCGTTCCGATGGCTCCAATACCCAATTCTCCGCCGCCGCCTTTGCGCATGCGTCGTAGCGTTATCGGTTATTGTTATCAGAGGTATCGGAATGATTAACTAAAACTCTCCTTTCTTGCACATGCTGCTGATTGTTTTCAACAAGCCACCATACAGAACAGGCTAGCCCGTCAGATCCGTTATTTCATCTTGTTGCGAGTTTAACTTCTCAATCATCCGTTGAACGTTGTAGAAATATTTTTATTTATTACAAAGGATAAGACGTTATACTTCCGTCACTGGATCGAAAACATCAAAGCTCTCCGAGCCCAGCAGTTGAGATTGGCTGGAAAGTCCCCCGAGTAGTTCGGGCAGCAAGGAGAAAGCGCATTATTAAATCAAGGTCAAGGGAGAGAAACCACTGCCCCAATTACTCTCAGGTAAGTCCATCGCCGAAGCCGGGATAAGATGGTGCTAATCAAGCAGTAGCGAATGTGCATCCTCAAGGCGCTTGTTCTTGTGCGTTCGCTGTCACCGGCTATTCCAAATCACGCATTGACATTACGTGGAATCACGGCGCGTTTGCTGTGCGTGATTGGTTTAGTTCGTGAAAGCAAACGCACGGGGATGAAGAGCGCCGTGACGATTCACTTTTAAGGCTGCTTGTTTGACTCCGTCAGACCGTAGCATCGAGTGCGCTTGCACTAAGTGAGCATGGCACACAAAAGGTGGCAGAGATGTTTCAAGTACATTATTTTTTGTTTCGTGGAGGAGCATGCTGACAGGAGTCGCAGGCTGAAGTGTTCTATTCCTTGGCCATGTTAGTCACCTAGCTTATGTTGTGGCTCTAATCGGGACACTTGGCGAAAAAGTCGGCTAGGAATTCGACCGTCATGATTGGCCCGCTCCAAGGGCAAGTGCGGCGCCGGTCAATCAGGGTCGCCGAATTCCTCGCCATCGTTTTTGCCAAGGTTCCAAATTACAGCCCCCTGGCCGTTCTCTCTTAGTGATGTTGGTGCAGCAAGCCCAGAAACCGCACGCCCTTTGTTCGGGTGGCTCCCAAAGACACAATGAGGCTGGGCCAATTCCTTTTGATACATACTGGCTTGCTCAGCGCGTCTGGCGGCGTGTGGTCATCCCGCTGTTGGAAATCAAGTGTATAAGCTCGAGCGGTGGGTTAACGTTTCCCATCGTCGGTTGGGTCCCGTCAAGGTCGGTCATAACACTTAGAGGACCCACTTCTGAAACGCGGATGTCCAATAGGCACTTAATGAGCGGCGTTTTTTTTTTATATTGATATTCACTTTTGCTCGCTTTCTTGTCGGCTAAATTCTTTTCCTCCCCCCATTGCTGCCTAGTTGGTAATGATCACAAAATAATTTATTTTTAAAAATTATTATATTTTTATTTTTTAAAGATGTGGGGGCCGGGCACGCTCAAGCGATATTTTAATAATTATGACAACAAAGTCACACGTGCTATTTATGCACGAGGCATGCAGAATCGTTTCAGTTTACTTGAACCTGCACCGTTGTCAGATAACTCAACACTGATGCCAAGTTTTGGTATCTATGGTACCTATTGATGAATTGTGACCCCCAGCTTTTTTTAAAACGTTGGGGCAAAACTATTAAAGTATATCTTTTTTTTTTTGTAAAGGGGGTCTTTTAAAACTACTCCTTTCATAGAGCTACATATCGGGTAACGCTTCTTCTGTATCATCTTATACCTAATACAACTGGAGGACTGAAGCTTACCGGTGTAGAGGAATGTGTTCGTGTGCCCTCCCACGACCAGGTCAATTTCCTCAACTTCTGCAGCTATTTTCTTGTCCAGTTCGAATCCCACGTGACTGATGACAACGTAAAACTTAACCTGTTCCTGCTTCAGGTTCTGAACTTCTTTTTGAATACTTTGAATTTCATCTAAAATCTTAATTTTGCCTGAAAAAAAGTGGCACATTAATATTTTTTGAAAAAAACTACACATTTGCCTAATGATCCGTTATTAATTCAGCAATCTTAACCATGTACTGCAAAGTACAAATAAATATTTTGCCCCGTTCCCTCAATATCATTCGAAAGAGCAGTAAAGCAAAATGTATCGTCTTGCTTCAAGGGTTTGCTGTAAGCATGAACCTTGTACGAAGTTGCTTCGTCGGCGTGGATATATATATATATATATATATATATATATATATATATATATATATATATCTACTGAGAAGAAAAAGACCCTTAGTGAAAAACAGCAACAACGGACGATTTAATCTTCGACGTTTCGGCCGGAGTCCGGCCTTCGTCAGGAAGACCGGACTCGTCTTCCTGACGAAGGCCGGACTCCGGCCGAAACGTCGAAGATTAAATCGTCCGTTGTTGCTGTTTTTCACTAAGGGTTTTTTTTTCTTCTCAGTTTTATACCCACGCCTTCGGCCTCCCGCCACCATGCCCGTTATATATATATATATATAAACGAAATTGTGCAGATGAATGAACCGTACTTAATCCAATGAATTAAAGAATCCAAGTTTCCAGGAACCCGCCGAAAGCCAAAAAACGGCGGAGCCAGGATTTGAACTCTGGGCCTCCCAATGTCCGGTCGGGTGTGCTAACCACTAAGCACACCCGACCGGACATTGGGAGGCCCAGAGTTCAAATCCTGGCTCCGCCGTTTTTAGGCTTTCGGCGGGTTCCTGGAAACTTGGATTCTTTAATTCATTGGATTAAGTACGGTTCATTCATCTGCACAATTTCGTTTATATCCTCCTCGGAGACCACGTACGATGGTGTGAAGTGCCCGTGTTGTATATATATATATATATATATATATATATATATATATATACCGGGTGTTTTTTTTAAGCTTAACAGAATTTTTAAAAAGAAACCATGAAAGCTAGGTTAGTGCGGTCTGCGCAGGTGAGTTATACGGCCAGGGGGACATAGTATAGGGGCCTAATCGTAAAGATCAGTCGGTTAATTAGTTAAAATTTGTTAATTAACTTTTTAATTAATGAGAATAGACATATAGTTTCAATTATAAACTTGCTCAGCGTCATCGAAAACCACTAAATCAGTAATCAGAAAGACTTTGAACAGGTGAGAAGCGTAGTAGTGCACTAAAGTTACCGCTCGTGGTGCAGGTACAAGGCTGGGGCTAGATAAGAGACGGAAAACTTGCGCGGGCGCCTTATCGCAAACGCTAGCTTTGTACGTGCTCCACGAGTGCTAACTTTAGTGCACTAGTACGCTTCTCACGCGCTCAAAGTCTTTCTGAAAATAACTGATTTAGAATTTTTCGTGATGCCCAGCAAGTTTCTAATTGGAACTATATGTCTAATTTCATTAATTAAAAATGTCATTAACGAATTTTAACTAATTAGCGGACTGATTGTCACGATTAGTCTCTCATATTATGTCCCCCTGGCCGTGTAACTCACCTGCGCAGACCGCATTAATCTAGCTTTCATGGTTTTTGAAAAAACCTTCTGTTAGGCTTAAAAAAAAAACACCCGGTATATATACACATAAAGAAAAAAAAACCTGCCAAAGCTCACGCTTTAGTAACTAAGGAACACAAGATGGCCTTCTTTGCTGTCGCAAACCCCAGTTTTCACCCTGCTATTTCGGTACTCCCTGTTTCCTACGAAATACATGCTTATTTTGTTTGTTTCTTACACACACCTCCCCTTCTTAGGACAAGCATTTTAGCTCACAATTTTCTATAGACTAATATGCTGTTTACAAGCAAGTCGGCATTTTCCCAAAGTGTAGATGCATAGAAACCAGATTAACGTTATACCAAGCCTGTGCGCATGCGTCGTGGTGACAGCAGCGCCACCGCGGCGGTGTGTGACAATAGTTTTGGTGTATACTCGGATACAACATAATGTTATAAGCCGCAAAATGTACGGTAACGCGTGCCTCAGCGGCAATTAAACCAGAACACGTTCACTCCACCTGTCTGGGTAAAGGCTGCAAAGCGTTCTTCCCAATTTTTTATTGTGCTTAGGTATTTATTTGCGATACATGTTCGTTCGTTTTTCGCTGTTGTTGTTCGGTTATTTGAACTCTGGTATTGCCATAAAGATGGGATACCACGCCACCTAAAACCAAATGCTGGCTTTTTGTGTGTCACGCCGGCATCGGTATTTATATAGTTGCAAATAAACTTATCGATTGATGTATTATAGATAAAGACCCATTCACACAATACAGTTTCACTACGTGTGTATACTCATGAGAGCCAAGGTCGAGTTAAGCGTCGAGTCACCGGGACATTTTTGCCTCTCATGAAGTGGCAAACACTTCTATGAGCAACAAGACACTACACCGTGCACGATACGCAGCATACAAAGCACGGTAGTGCAGGTGTCTCCAGGTTGTATGATTTGGGCCGTGTTCTATATTTGCTCTATCTAAATTCAGAGTAAGGGTTTTGTAGCTTGTCATTCGAAAACCAACTAGAGCACCACGTTGCTGTATTCGTGTCACCACGTGGTGTGACCCGCAGGGATAAAGGACAGTTCACACGTAAGCGTTTGCGTTTGCTTACGTTTGCGTTTGCTTACGTAAGCGTTTGCTTACGTTTTCTAATGTTACGTTACAATTCACCGGAATATACGCGCTTCGAATGTCGCGTGCACATCTACTCTTTGAACTGGTTACCAGGCTTCATGAGATACAGGAATGTCCCGTTGACTTGCAGCCGTGAGCAGCCCTAAGCTTCGGCAATATAAAGGCCGGTTAGCACAATACGGCTTCCTTACGCTGCCTTATGTTACGAAAGCTTACCTCGGCTTACGTTGAAAGTCACCGAGACATGTGTGCTTTGAATGAAACGTGTCAACTTGTTGAATGAGTAGGCTTGCACGCGACATTCGAGGCACTGACGTTTCGGTGACTTCAAAGCAACGTAAGAAAACGTAATGCAACGCTCCTGTGTGGATGGGTTTAAAGGAGTTGGAAGCGAATTTTCTACTTGCACTAAATACTACTTAGAATCACTCCCTAACATTAATAACCGAATCACATTGCCTTAGTTTTTTTCTTCTTCTAGGCAATGGCGGCTGTTAAACAAATTCGGGAAATATGAGCATCGTTCATCTCCTCAACTCGGAGACAGAACAAGCGGCCACTTGGCTTGGTGCCTATCCTACGCCACCAAACGTAATCACAGCCACGCGTTGGGTTTGGCAAAGAAGAAAATGCGTGCTGAGCTCCAGGGATTGTTAGAGTTCGGCTATTCTCATCACCGCAGTGGTTGGACACGAGTCACTACCCAAATGCCGAGGTATTGATTGCTGCGACGCGAAGTCGAGTGCTCACGCAGTTCTTGTGTCCAATCCATGCGCCGTGCTCGATTGTCGTCCGGCGGGTGGTTTCGATCCCACAATTACGGCATCAAGCTTTGCGCATGCAAGGCTGAAAGAAATAGTCCCCATTTATCCCCGCAATTTCACCGCGACAACGAAGCCTCATAGTCAGTGGCGTTCTGCGCAAGTATACTTGGGCCAGACTAGGACCTGTACGCTTCTGCAGAGTCATGAACATTCCAAACCGATATCGTTTCATGACCGCTTTAACGCAACGTAAGCAAACGGTACTGTGTAAACATGTCTTTGTTTACTCGTCTCAGCTCGTATAGCATTTAGAAAACCCAATGTAATGTAACAAGGCCTCAACAAGGCCGTTCTACTGGTTATTGTTTTAGGCCATCTACCCAAGGCCAGCATGGTTCATACATCGGGCACCAGTGTTGCGTTAGCGTTAGGTTAGGACATGTGTACATTCAGTAAATACAGGAGTGCTGCTTCAGTGTTGTGCTAGGACACATGTTCAATCAGTGACGACATGAGTTCCAGCCGAACGCTGACTTAGAACGTGTGTAACTGTCTTTAGTTGCAAGAGTAGGGAACCGGAAACTGCTAGGAAACTGCCATATCGCCCATTGCGTGTGAACAAATAGACGTTGAATGCTCTATGCAGATTGCATGAAATACATACCAAAGAATACAATGGTAAGTGCCAAATTGTGAAGAAAAGTTTATACAATGGAGGGTACATTTTGCAGTATTTATTTTAGAGTTCACGGCTAACAGCTAATCTTCAAAAAACAAAAATAAATTTATAGTCGTTGGATATATAGACAACCTGAAAGTGGTCTGTCAGGGCATGGCGACGCTGTTATAAGATGTAGATAAGAAATTTTGCCAGTACAGTACCACTGCTAGCCTGGCGTCTTTAACGTGTATCACGCAGTAGTGATACACTATACAGTACGCCGGTACAACGCTAGTGAATATATAAACGGCCTGGGGCGTGGGGATTCAATTCAGGATCCCTGGGTTCTGCAGCGCGAGCTTTCCCTCCGCGTGCTCCGAGATGAGTTGTGTTAACGCACTAATGTCAGCTCGCGTTTGCAAGCATTGCACCGTGCTTTCACTGTGATAGAAGCCATTACTACAATAACGATCTGACGACGGTTGCGCGAGGGTGCAGCTTACGTCTTTTGAATGACCCAGAATTGCAAGCACACATTGCAAGAACGGTGTAACGTTGTTTCGTCACACGTGAACGGGACACATTTCCCATAAAATACAGCCCACAAACAGCATAATTTTTGTTAACATGAATGTCGCACGGTTTAATAAAAAATCGCTGAAATACTTTTAATATGCAACTGAAACTTCATGGGGTAGGTCCACAACGTAATGCTATAATAACAAAATGTTTTTTAAACCTAGGAAAAAAAAAACTCCTGAACTCATTACTGCGGTCGCATATGTTCCTCGTGCCATTTTCTTCAATTTCTAATCTTTGTTTCAGTTTTTTTTATTCATCTGCATATTGTAAGATGTTGGAACATATGTTAGTTATAAATTTAGACGTCCCAATTATTTGTTTAACCTAAAGTTTCATTTTGAACCTCAAGGTTCGACAGGGTTTGCGAACCTTTGAACTTTTAGCAAACTTTGACGAAGTTGCGTCAAAAAAAATGTTGCCCGACCTCTACACGAAAGCTTAAAAGTTGGGATGTAAATTATTTATAAATTAGTTTATTGTAGATGCAATAAATAATTTACTAATGCTTAAATAGCATTCAATTCAAATATTTTTTTTAACGCATTATTTTTGTTGATGTGAAACAATCAAACAATATATCCAACAAATATCGCACTTTTCCTCCGCCGAATGATGCTAGGTCGTTTCTTTCTAACTTTCGCGCATGCGCGCAAAATAAAATTTCAGTCGAATTTTTGTTCAATCTCGCATTAGAAGTTTGAAAAAGTCTGACCTACTTAGGTAAACTTGCCTCTCGGCTTTTTGTAACATTCCTATTTATCACACAACCTTTAATATCTAACGATCTCTGCTGTATTCACATACGCTTAGTATTTTTGTTTTTGTTTAGACGAAGCCTGTAGACTCAAAACTAAATAGATAAGTTAAGGCAATATATTTTGATGTGTCTTTTGTCCACCCTATTTATTGGGACTACTAATATTTATGTTGAGGGCAAGGCTATTTATAAATGGCGACACGTTTTAAGTCCTAATCTCGCTGCGAGATGTTTGCGTTGCAAATTTACGTCAACGAAAGCAACGTTTTTGTCACCTTTACCTCTAAAATGTACCAATCTTACCTTTTTTATTTATTCACTTATTATTCTTAACCACTGGTACGACCGAAGGTCGCAACAATGGTGCTGATGCGACTTTCAGAACGTATTCGTTTTTTTTTTTTTTTTAACATTAAGATAAAACCTCATGCGGCCAACTAACACGGCATTGTAAAGCAATTCAATAGAAAAAGAATATTGCAATATATTTTTATGTGAGCAAAATAAATAACACAATTATTTACTAACCTGGCCTGGCAATCTGCATTGTTTCTTGGGTAACTACGCCCATGACTCCAATCTTCAAGTTGTTCACCTCATATATGATAGATTTCTTTAAGTTAGTTTCGTTAAGTAGGGGTTCCAGGGAAGTGTCAAGATTGGTTCCCAGGACGGTTACATTTGCCTCCACCATTTTTTTGAGGAAAGGTGCAAGGCCTTCAGGGCCGTCGTCGAACTCGTGGTTGCCCAGGCACTGCACACATGTTGCGACATTTGCATTTCAGAGAGCAGCATGTGATTAAAAAAACAAGTACTAAATCCTTTTGGTACTAAAATTTACTGCCAGGCATTCTCTGCGCATCTTGCCGCAACGAGGGAATCCACATGATTTCACTTATATACCATTTCCAACATATAAAGCAAAGTTGAGAACGTGGATAATATCCAATTCATCTTGCATGCTTTAATGACGCCCATCTTGTAGGCTCTCTATGGCCCCAGATCCCACAGTACATGAATGCATTCAATACATAAGGCTTTAAATTGGGCTCAATATTTTATTTATTTATGGTCTCTACTTTCTGATATTATTTCGCAATAAAATTATGGAAAGTATAACGAACGTAACTCAGTGACTTCGCATAGATATACTATGCTTTCATACATTTAAAACCTTGTCCCCCATTTGGAGAAATATGTTTTGTTGTTGGTAACAGCGTCAGAGAAAAAAAACAGCATATAAATGGTTAAGAAGAGAAAAAAAAAATCATCTAGAAATAGAACCATTTCATGAAGCGGCCTATGATGCTGCACCTTTTTGCCAAGGACAAATAATGGTGAAATCTCACACAAAAAAGAAAGAAAGAAAAAGTAAGGCTCCGCGAATGTAGTTACAATTAAACAATTTCTGCTATATTACTAAGCGGTCAAGTAGCACGCATGAGCCGCATTTTACGGAATATAGATATATATTACCCGATGCTGACTATCTACACGTGAGGACTATACAAGGATTTATTTATTTTTTTCTAGGTCGTTCGCTGTGACAAGATGTGACATAGTTTTTTGGATAAGGGAGTATATTAATTTTCGTTTATGTACGTCTCAAGCTTTTTGTGAAATAATACAGCCGGCATTTCTCAAGGTGTGTTGTGTATGATAGTTTTTTTACGTTCGAACTAGGCACGTTGTGCGTGCCTAGTTCGAGCGCCCGGTGCATAGTCCGCGCAGCGTGCGGACTATGCACCGGGCGTGGACTATTTAAGCGAAAGCTTTTAATTTTTACCCCGAACTTGCCCCTGCGGACTATGCGCCCGGTGAGGACTATAGCCCGGAAAATATGGTGCGTAACACTGAAGGGATCGTTACTGTAGAGCCCACCTTAAAAAAATGAAAGTTAAACGTCAGAAGGCGAAATGCTCATGCTGAGATGTGTTTGTTATAGGCAATCATAACACATATTTGATGGACGTTTCGTACATATTCAAAGAAATATTCTCCATTGAGAAGGGAGGTAAGTCTACACAAAATTAAGGTGGTGGTGTAAACTGGCAATTTCCAGGTACAGCGCGTCCTTTCTGTTGCGCCCTGGGATCTTATAATGTGTCTGTTCAAGTCTAGAAGATTAACGTACCAACGAAAAGAGGTGTCTACATTTCAGCGTGTGATTCAGTAGCTATTCTAAAATAACTTCTGAGGTAATTTAGCCTAAATGTCACGAACCTTCGACACCATTCCTTATTATATGGTAGTTGCCAAAACAGTACGTAAATCGTATATTTTGTTTTTAGTGTTTGCGGTGGTAACTTATTGAGAAATATTTGTTCTGCATCAGTCTCGGAGTAAAACTTTTCTGACAAATAATATTTTATGCAAAAAAAAAAAAAAAACGCGGCGGGAACAGAAAAAGATTTTGCATCACCGATTTTATCTTGCCGCGACTACTTGGGAATATGCTATACACACAGAGGACTAAATATGGTAATATAATATTTGAGTATATTGCTAAGATTTGGCTGCTTTATGTGTGTGAAGGAATACAAATTATATAATGGCAACTCACCACAGAGTCGTACATCATTCTTGACATTGCCTCCGCAACAATCTTGTATTTTAAAACCGTGTACCATACCGTTCCTTGAAAAAAATCACCGCCGTTGAAGAAGAACGTGTGTTTATTTTTATTCTTTAATTCTTTCACCTAGAAGAAAATAATGTGTAGCCAGCATAATATTACAACTCTGTCAGCATCATTTTGAGCGGCAGCTGTGCTGGCGGTTTTTTTCATTCCCATCAATCTGACACATGTAAATTGTTCCCGCAGTCAAAATATACATTGAAATACTTTTCCATCACAAAAAATGTACTCAGAATCTGCAAACGTACCAAGAATGGAGAAAGATTTGCATCACTATAAAACGTACTTAAACAATCTGAATTTATTTATTCTGTGCATATATATTATCAAAAAGCAGCTTGAGATATCCTCCAGTTAATATAATCATTGGCTACAATCATAATTTATTATGTGCTATTCACAGAATTAACACCACATGAAAATAATTGTATTACAAGTATCTTTCTTTTTGCATAGGTACCGCAACGTTTCAACGAACACATTTTTAACTTGAAAAAGGAAGAAATAGCGGCCAAAATACTTAGGAACATTTCTACCGATTAAAAAATGAAATATCACAATGCTGGTCATTGACCCCTTTTGAAATACTGCCCTTTGTTGACAAATCTAAAATCCTTGCACAATGGCGGGCTATAACTGCAGCGTCACGGCACACTTTATACGTTTGTTGGACCCACATAAAAAGGTGATGAGCGCAGTGATGTTGCACTTTCGACGCTGTTTGATTGGCCTGTCGACTCCTAGCGTTGGCCGCTTTCCGACGTTTGGTATGGCTTATGGAATGACTTGCACGTTCCACGATGTCAGTTGTTCCGCCATTGTGCAGGGGTTCCGATTTTCTAATAATTGGCACTGGAATTTGGAATTTCGAAAGGGGTCCATAGTTCTTTTAATTGTGTGAAAATATATTTGATACCATTTAAGCTTGGAGTGCCTATATGGTGAACATTTGTACTTTTTAATTATGTGTCAATGTACCTCCTTAAGAATTCGGTTTTAGATTAGGAGTATAAATAAATTTAATGCGCCCGGAACCAAAACAGTAGCTGTAGCTGAGACAATAAAAGCAAAGCTTGAAAGCTAAAAATAAAAAATTAATATCCAAATAAAATGTTCTGCTGAATGGGAATTTGCTTGTCATATGCCCATTCAAAAAAGAAAATGACACTGGGTTTTATTCACTTTCGGTGGCAAAGGCGAGGGTGTAATCTAGTGACTAGCTGGTGTAACCCATGGAATTCGCAGGATTAACACGGGCTGAGGTTGATATCTGAAGCCTTATATTGAACACTTCTTGCCCGTTTATAGTCAATATCGATAATACGCTTATTCGCCTCGAGATTGTTCTAAAGGTGGCGCTACTGTCGCGCTATCATCATCATCAATCTGTGGATAGGAAGATGGCTGCCCCATACGTTATCTGCGGTCGTGCCCAAGAGCCTGCAGAATATTGGAATATTGTGTTTATTGCCTCGTACAGTATCATCGTGAAAGCAATTTTAACAGGAAATGGTCCCGTACTGTTCATTGCCTCAGTGCAATACCTATTGCACCGGGGTGGGGTTCACTTTTTTCTGATATCCAGCGGCCGGCGCGCTGTGGAAGGAGTGGCTGTCGAAGTTGAGGTCTGATTCACGCGATGTTTTGCTCTAAACATTTCACCGCCGAAGACTTCAAACTATCGATGCATGACAACCAAGGTAAGTGCAAAAATAAAACTGTTTACATAAGTGCACGCGCGGACCAAAGTATAGTACGCGTAAAACGCGCGCGTTGATCGTCGCTCGGTGGTCGGCAGTGTGATCGTCCTTAGTGTTGGTTCTTCCACTGCGGTGTTTTTGGAGATGATGCGAATGTTGCGAACTTATTACTGCGCAAGAATCCGACTTTTGAAACATTGTAGAATTGTCACCTTTACGTGCCCCCGTACTAAATGCCACACTAAAGGAGGCATTGACTGCAGCGGAAGTGGCTCGCTCAGTGCCTGTGTGTGCGTTGGACGGACCTGATCAAATTTTCTTCACGTTTGGTCGGAAGCACGCGGTAAATAGGGCTGATAGCAACTGGTCAATCTACGAAGGGAGCAACAGGGACTAACGAGCCTAATCAATTATTTGTTTATACTCCACAAATTTTGCTTACCCTCCGCGTGATGAAGGTTTTATGTCACTTTGCCTGGAAAACAAATTTTCAACGGCAGATCACGCTACATGAAAACGGCATGATTAGATCTAAGGTTAACAGCTCACTAAAGGACATTGGTGCCACGTACAAAGCTCGAGCCATTTTTTTCCCGAAGTGACTGCACCGCCTACAGCAAAACCCTTCGCAAGCACCATATTTTCGAGAAATACAAAATTAGCGAAAAATAAAGGCGCGCGAATATCTCTCTTGTTTTGAGGCCAGAATTAAAGCCTTTAGAATTCGCTAGAGGTAGCGGCCGCGAATAGGTTCCTATCAGTGTTTTACACGTTCCTCAAAGAAGGAACGAAAGCTCGTTCTTCGTTCCTTCTGACTTTTGGTACGCGTTCACGTTACCATTTCCATATGTGAAAAACGAACTCGTTCCCGTTACAGTTAAAAAAAAGGAACTTATAGTTACATGTACGTTACATTTGTATTTTGCTGACTACCATATTTAGTTAGATCGAGGAAAGTTTCTTTTTTTTTTTCATCTATCGCATTAAATGGGAACATACATATTTGAATGCCGTGATGGTAGGGAACCATGAGAAGAAAACAAGCGGAAGCAGGGTTTCATTTGTTGATATATTCACCTTTAAAAATATAAGTTTTGAACTTTATTCATGTTTGTGGTGGGCGATTCAGACGAGCCAAATATACTGTTGCCTCACATTGCACGAGCGTTTTACAACAACCTCACCCGCTTCAATCTAACAATGTCCCTTGTTTGAACTTATCAACAGTTGCTTATCGATGTTGCTTTCCGCAAGACGAGCAAGTGAAGGAGAAGGCAGGGCCTTTAAAAGGTCAATCTTGAACACTACGAGTCCTTCTTCTTGAAGGTTGGATTCGTTGTTCAGTTTGAAGATGGTGGACAAGGGGGGCAGGAATAAAGGTTAATTTTTGTGTATCTTTTAAGTGACCTATGTTTGGGATACAAAAGTGGGTTTGTTGTTCAGTAACTTGTTCTTTTGTTGCAACTGCAGGTCTCTTTGTGGAAGTTGAAAGATAGCTGTAGTCGGGCTTATATTTCCGAGTCTATGAAGATTTGTGGAAGCAGAGAACGTAGCTGACTTTGAAGCGTCCCTCTTTCTGTGTCTTTTCCTTCGACGAAAGTTTTTTTTTTTTTTGTACCGCAGTCTCGGGCACCAAAAAAAGAATGGATGTCGACTAGCTCTCCTTCACCCGAATGTTACCAAGCGAGGACCACACAAAATAAACCATAAGATCGGTAACCAAAAAGTTAATGAGATCCTGCTCTTCGTGTATTGTTTTTATACTTTTAGAATTTCCCTATTAGAAATAAAATAAAAAGTACCCCACTGGACGAAAAATAAAGAAACGCCGTTCCGTTTTCCGTTCCATTAAAAATGTAACGAGTTCCCGGTCCAGTTCTACCGAAGCAAAATACTGGGTGTATCAAGGGGAGGCCAGGCTCTTTAAATCGACCGCTAAATTCGGTTTCTTAACCTATCGCGCTACGATATTGTGCAGCGTTGCCCACAGATGGTGCATTTTTTTTTTTTTTGTAAAATTTGCAACGAGCGAACTTACATGAGGAAAAAGTAAAGAAAGAAAAAGACTTAGCTCCTATGGAAACGCAGCGACGCCACCGGTCTTCAAACAACACGGCGCCGTTTCGCACGGGAGGCAAGAGATGGCGCAAGCGGTCGCGACGACAATTGCCGCCAACGAACGAGCATACGACGCCGAGAGCCGGCATCTTTAGAAGACAAGGAACTGCAGTTCCTTGTTGTTACCGTGCCTTTTTTGTTTCTGCGACTGTCGCCACCTGCGGAACGCGCGCCGCTTTTGAGTCGAAAGGACCGTCTGCTAAATTCGCCGGCTCTCGGCGCCGTATGCTCGTTCGTTGGCGGCGTTCGTTGCGCCATCTCCTGTCTCCCGTGAGAAATGGCGCCGTGTTGTTTGAAGACTGGTGGCGTCGCTGCGTTTCCATAGGAGCTAAGCCTTTTTCTTTCTTTACTTTTTCCTCAGGTAAGCTCGCTCTTTGCAAATTTTACAAAAAAAAAAAGCACCATCTGTTTGCAACGCTGCACAAAATCGTAGCGCGATGGGATAAGAAACCGAATTATGCGGTCGATTAAAAGAGCCTGACCTCCCCTTGATACACCCAGTAGAACGGCGTCGTTCCTTCGTTCCACCTAAAAGGAACGCGTTCGAGGAACGCCGTTCTGTACAACACTGGTTCCTATGCCTAAATTGCGAATAATTGGGATCAGAGAAATAAAGGGTTTTACGTATGCATGGAGCGTTTAAATCGATCTGCAGGCCAAATCGGTCAATTCTCTCAAAGACGCAACCGGGCGTTGGAGTTACAAACAATAGTTATTCGGCAGGGCGAGTGCACGAAAGTTCATCAATCGTGGCACCGTTCATGAGTTTCAGGTCCACAGTATTGGGGCTCCTGCTGAGAGCCGACGACTGCAGTACGTAACTCCAAATATGTACGCCCGTCGACTGGATTTGTGGGGGCCACAAAGCTGCACTCAATAATGTGCGCGGCATGTACAGGTTGTTCGCTTTCGACAAAATAGCGCTTTCCGTCGGCAATTCACTCCGTAATAGTATGCAATTGCACTGAAACTGAAACAAATGACCGCATCACAACAACAACCGCAGTAGCAACATTATATAAGCATCCGGCTTGGCATTCCTTGCCTTCGCGTGCTTCCACCCTCGTGGAACGATACAATATTTCTGAAGAAACAAGTATTCACAACGTACATAGCGCAGTTGACCCGAAAACAATAGCCTTCATCGTCGCGAAGAGCCATGCCTCAACGTGCGCCGAGAGCAGACGACGTGCGGCGGTATCCACACTAGCAGTGTTTTCAACGTCGGCCGCACGGCGGCAACTC